ATGAAAAAATAGTATTAATTGTGATTTGACATATGCACTTTTGAAATAAATATGGCAGGTTATGTGTCAAAAATTTATTGATCAATAAAATTTTTGCAAAAATGTCAATTTCTTGTCTTTGTGTGGAATCATAAATTGTTCACAGGGGTATTTTGGTCCAAAATATTTCAAAATGGACATTTTTTCAAGGATTTGTGAAAGTGGACATTTTTGCAAATGGACATGTGAAAGTTGATATTTCAAGCAATTTCCTATACTTTTATTTATTGATTTGTACCCAAAAAAATAAAAATAAAAATAATAAATAATTAAAAATATAAATAATTAAAAAAAAAGAAAAGAAAAGAGCACATTGAGTTTATTCCCTTGTCAATGGCACAGCCTTCACGTTAGGTTTCTTCCAGCTGAATTTCCTTGTCGTTGCTCTGTTTAGATTAGTGAAAGAATAATGTCAACTACTATCTTTAAATGGTAAATGCATTTAATTGAATTTATCAAATGTTGTCAACTAAATTTTTGCTTTAATACCACGGTGCTAGATAATATTATTTTCAATGAACAGTGACATTATCATATTTGAATAATTTATTCCATAAAGTTAATTAGATAGAAAAGATGATTTGTGTGGTGGATAATGCTTTTCACTTGATATTGTGGGCTATTGTTTAAATTTGGAGATGGCAAATAAAGTCGTTAACCCCAATACTCGCTGGGTCTTATCTCAAATGAAATATGTATTATTGGTCTAATCGTGTAACTAGGATGGGGACGGTGCTCAGAATCGGGTACGGGGCAAGTACCTAAAACTTGGTCCACACCTCATTTAAAATTTATCTCAGATTTAATTTTTTTTAAAAAAATAAATAATAAAAATAATAAAAATTATCATCATTTCTAAAGGAAACATGTCTTGTTAACAAATTGAAAAAAAAAATCACTTTGGGTGGACAAAATGACCAAACCATAGCAAATCGAACGATTCGATTTAGTTTTACCAAAAAAAAATAAATAAATTATAATAATAGTTCTAAGAACTGAAAACTATTTGATTCTGGTTCTAATTCTAGAATCAAAAACCAAATAAAAAATTTAACTTAATATTTAAATTATATACACACACACAAATTAGTGAATCACAATTCACCCAAAAAAATTCAAAATTCTATTGAAAATTAGTACAAAGAGATCACATCCTTCAATTTCCCATTTTTCAATGTGGACACTGGGACACTAATTCATTTTGAAGATTTAGATCTTAATTCATTTTTCACTCTCTCTTTATTAATCTAATATAAGATTTGAGTTGAAATATCGCTAATATTATAGGCATTTGGTCTAATATTATGAAATCGAATGCTCAATCTAGGTCACATGTATCTGTATCCGTCCTGGGGTACAAAAACGCCCTCATATCTTTGAGAGGACAGAACTTAAGATGAAATCGAAAACCTGTTTGGCCCCCATTAATTTCAATTCCATTACATTTCGTTTTTCTCTCTCCTATTTTTAACTACACAATCTTTCATAATTCTATTGAAAATAAGTATAAAAAGATCACATCCTTTGATTTTCCAATTTTCAATGTGGACACTGGAGACCCTAATTCATTTTGCAGACTTAGATCTTAATTCATTTATCATTTTCTCTCTTTATTGATCTAGTATAAGATTTTGAGTTGAAATATCGCTAATATTATAGGCATTTGGTCTAATATTATTAGATCTTGGTTTTATTTATACAAATTTGATTTGGTCCCTATTGGATGGAAATTAAAATTTAGATTTTCATTTAAGTTAAAGTCAACAATTAAACCACATATTTCATGGAACCCATAATTTTCCAACTACAATTTCATCAACTTTTATCAAAATATATTAAAATTCTAATTTTAATTCCACTAAACAAGATTATTCTCAAGTTTTTTGGTAAATGATCATCTTGTTGAAAAATAGTATATCGTAACAACTTGCATATATAGTTTCACATAAAATCGTCTTCCTAATGTATAAATTGTTAGTCCTTAGTTATTCTCTTTGATTTAAATATAAATAAATACTATCAATTTGCTAAAAAAAAAAAAAAAAAACTACTCAAGTCCAAAAATAAAAAATAAAAAATTGTCTCTGGGAGTAAATGAATTTTAACAAGTATTTTCCATCTAATAAATTATACAGCTTTGTTACAGTGACAGACTCAATGACAAATTTAAAATAACGAGACTCGTGTAAACACATGGTTGAACAATTTGGAGGGGGAAACACACACACACACACAGAGTTATGGCCCCAACACTATACAGCCGGAATAACACCTCTTTCTAAAAATAAGTGGCTTATTTCATTTTCTCTCAAAATTGAAGTTTGAGAACTAGAAGACATAAAAAATTTATTAAGTCTAAGTAAGAAAGATGACATACATAAAGAACATAAGTGCAATATTTCCTAACAAAGTTGGAAATTCGAATCAACAAGTGCAACTTCATTGAAGCTTCCATGCATAATAGGTACATTGTAAAGTATGAAAAACAACTAGCATTCATTAATTAGAATATTTTGGCAGAATAAAATAATAAGATTTCTCTTTAGGCGGGGACAAGGTCAATATATTACACTGTTAATCATATTAATTAAAAATGGACCTTTATTATGTATTATCTCAATCAAACCAACGTTAGGAGAATTTCATACTTTTTAAAAAAAAAAAATAATAATAAATTGACTTTTATACTTCTTAATACCATTTTTTGATTGCATTTATGACTCACAAGTTGACTTGATATCATATATGTATGTATGCATACATAAAAAATGTGAAAGACGAAACATCTTTGGTTTTGTAACAAAAATATGGAAAATGCCAAACAACCCACGAGGATGATCTCGTGGGTGACCGTGCCCTCACATATTCAGCGCGTGGGTCTCCAATAAATAAAATAATCCTGACCCATGTGTGTATGTTGTGTCAACCTCTCGAGCACGAGGACGACTCCAAAAATATATTGTGATGGGGAACGAGTTTCTGATCATCTTTGTACTTTTCAATGTTCCCAAATTTTGGATACTTTTATTTATTAATTTGTAACAAAAAAGTTTATTCACTTGTCAATGACACGCCCTTCATGTTAGGTTTCCTCCGGCTGGATTTCCTAGTCCTTGCTCTGTTTAGATTAGTGGAAAAGTAACTTCACTTATGTCAACTATTAGTTTAAATGGTAAATGCATGATGTTAAATGATAGATTCACTTAAATATAACATCACAATTCATTTAATTAAACATATTAATCGTAATCCTCTAAACTATTGCTTTAATACCACTGGTGTTAAATGACATTATTTTCATTGAAAAGTGACACTATCATATTTGAATAATTTATTTCATAAAGTTAATTAGTTATCAAAGATGATTTGTGTGGTGGCTAATGCTTTGACTTGATAGTGTGATCTATGGTTTGGATTTGGGGATGGCAAATAAAGTCGTTAACCCCAATACTCGCTAGATCTCATCTCGAACGAAATGGGTATTATCGGTCTAAATGTGTAAACTAGATGGCGACGGTCCTCAAAAGCGGGTATGGGGCAAGTACCTAAAATTTGGTCCCCGCCTTATCTCAAATTTAAGTTTTTGAGAGAGAGAGAGAGAGAGAGAATTATCATCATTTCTAAAGATAACATGTATTGTTTTTAACAAATTGAAAAATGAAAAAAAATTTCACTTTGGGAGGACAAAATGACCAAACCAAACCAAATCGAGCGATTCGATTCGATTTTACACAAAAAAAACACAATATATATATATCATGCCTTTTCTTTGCTTGGTAAATATGTACTTGCCACTATTCACGTAATAAAATAGGCATACGTACGGATTTGCTCGATTCTTTTCTTCTTTAATAAATTCCTTTGGAATTATGTTAATATTATGTTACTATCTAAAGGCAGATTTTAATGGAAAATTCATTTGTGTGTGTGTGTGTGTGTGTATATATATATATATATATATATATATATATATATATATATATAGTTCTAATTCTTAGAACTAAAAACTATTTGATTTTGGTTTTAGTTCGGTTCTAATTCTAGAATCAAGAGCGAAATGAAAAATAAAAAACTAATTAATATTTAAATTACTCACATACACACACAAATTAGTGAATCACAATTCATAAAATAAAAATAAAAAAATAAAAAAATTTAAAATTCTATTGAAAATCAATACAAAAAGATCACGTCCTTCGATTTTCCATTTCTCAATTTGGACACTGGAGACTCTAATTCATTTTGCAGACCTAGATTCTAATTCTTTTTTTTTTTTTTTTTTTTTTTTTCAATTTACACATCGACTTTTACATGGAAACCAACAACTATGGCTTTTTGTCTACCGTCATGCTTAGCCACCACAGCCATATGAATTTCTGAAAGTGAAGCCTCAACCTTCAGTCTTCATTTTCAAATGTCCTCTCTCTCTCTATTTTTTTTTTTTTTTTACTAGTAATGAAACTAGAATCAAACCAAGCCAAGCCAAATCAGAAGATTCTATATATTTTCAAAATAATCGTTTGGTTCGCTTATTAAAACAATCATTGGTTCCGTTCGATTCGATTCTCTTGAAATCAAAATCAAATCGAACAATGTTCACCCTTAATTTTAACCAACTAAAGACACAAAAAATAAAATAAAACAAATGACAAAATTAAACGGGACGATAAATGGGATAGAGGACCTGTCTCGTCTCTATAATCAGGTATGCGGACGGGATAAGATGACAAAATATATTGGATAGGTGGTCGGGAATAGCTGATCCGTCCCGTTGCCATCCCTATTTAAATTGAATAAAAGTTTTATACTCTTATTAAAATTAAATATTTAGTAATTTTTGATAAAAACTGATGAAATATATAATTGATATATATAATTGCATAAAATGTATAGTTATTAATGTTTACTTAAATTAAAATTTTAATTTTAATCGTACTAAAGAGGAGATCTCAACTAATACGAAATGTTACCAGCACGGCAGCTCCTTCTTTATATGTGCCTCAATTTCTTCATTGTCTCCTCCTTCCATCTCCTCTCTTATAGGATTCCATTGCTGATTCCTCCATTCTCTTCTCCCAATTTTGCTTAGACGCCTCTCAGATGGATCAAATTCTGTCCAAAAATTTTGTTTTGGAAGCCCAAGAGGCCGAATCGATCCGCCAATACCTCAATCTCCCGTCGGTGCTCCACCTCCTACCCCGCTTAGTTCAATCGGCGCAGTCGTTAGCCCGCCCGCCCATCTCAAAATTTCATGTTGGTGCAGTGGGCTTGGGCTCCGATGGCCGTGTGTTCATAGGAGTCAATCTGGAGTTCCCGGGACTCCCACTTCACCACACCGTCCACGCCGAGCAGTTTCTCCTTACCAATCTTGCTGTCCATGGGTGTCCTCAGCTACTTTCTTTTGCAGTTTCTGATGCTCCCTGCGGTCACTGCCGCCAGTTCTTACAGGAGCTCCGTAACTCCTCGTCTCTTGAAATCCTTGTCATGTCCCATGTTCAAGGAAATATGGAGAACGCTCTTTCCTTCAAGCGCTTGTCTGAAATTCTAACGGATCCATTTGGCCCTCATGATCTTTTAAGTGAAGAAACTCCGCTTCTTCTCGAGTCACACAATAATGGGTTATCTCTGTTACCGAAAAATGCTTTATCAGTGGACGGAAGTTCGACAAATCTTTGCAATGGTAACTGTGAATTGTCCGTGGGCAATGAGAATTCTGTTAAATTGAGCTGTGGGAATTGGGAAAAGGATCAGATCCTTTTGAGAAAAGCGGCATTGGAAGCTGCTAATAACTCACATGCACCATACAGTGGGTGCCCTTCTGGGGTGGCGTTGATGGATTCTGAAGGAAAGGTGTATAGAGGGTCGTATTTGGAGTCTGCGGCTTACAATCCTAGTTTAGGGCCGGTGCAGGCGGCGTTGGTGGCGTTTTTGGCTGGAGGCGGTGTTGGTTATACGAGTATTGTGGCCGCAGTTTTGGTGGAGAAGGAAGAGGCTAAGGTGAAGCAGGAAGATACTGCAAGGCTTATTTTGAAGGCGGTCTCTCCCAGATGTGAATTTACGGTGTTCTATTGTCGATCAGCAGAAAATGGATGTAAAAATAGTTGCTGATTATTGTGAGTTCAACTGTATTAATCAATTATTTATAATTGTTCGCAATTGCAGATCTCATCAAATAAATAAGTTATTAAAAGAGTTCATTTCTTTTATAATAGATTATCTTATATTATAGTAGAGATGATCGGAACCACTTTTACATCCAAGTTTCAGTGAGTACAAATCGGTGGATGAATTTTAAAAGAAGCTGTCTTTCTTTCCAAATAGATTCTGATTTCATTATTGTGATTTTGGATTTCTGATTCTGGAAGAATTAGGGGCAAAGGGATTGAACGTGAAAGATTCTTATTATAGGATCTTATCTTACTTTTTGGCCTAATTCTTCTTCTGATGATGGATTCAACCTTTGATAAAAAAGACATACCTTGGTTATATTTCATCTCTTCAACAGGTGTAGTGTTGACTACATTAATGTTCTTGTTTGTATGCAAAAGTCCTTATTCCATAGCGTTCTCAATTTCGTATTGTGAAATAGAGTTCATGAAATATGATTGAGATTATCCGTTGGCAGTTCTGGTAAATGGATAATCAAACTCCTGGGAAGCAATGTCAGTACCCCATTAATCCATCCAAGTACTGAAGTTTTGATGAAACTGTAGTTTATAAAAATCAAAGATACATAGAAATGTGAGAAGGGCGGCGGTGGAGTTTAGTGTGATCTTTGGTGACTAGTGAAAGCTTTTGATTCTAGGTTGGTCAATTCAACTTTTTGACTAAACAGTTCAATATTGATTTTGGTGTGAATTTTTGAGATGCAAAAGGTTCTTTTATAAAAAGAAAGTTGATTAATAGTATGTAATGTTTTTTCTCAATAAATGGACCGGGGGGGGAGGGGGGGGGGTACAGACTGTTACAACTTTATATTGATTTAAAGATAAAGTTGCAATTATTAGTGTAAACGTGATGGCCCGGCCTTGTCTGGACTCTGTACTATTCATTTCCATCCCTACAATATAACTATTTTTTGGTGTAAAATTTGCCTAGGTGAAGGAAGTTATTGAGGACTAAACTTCGATAACGCAAATTGAGAATAGAGATGAAGATTTGGAAGAAATTTAAATCCATTTTTGTGTTCAGGTATACTGAAACTTAGCTTGATTTGATGATGGAAGGAGAGTCAAAGACGTGCTACTACTGGCGCACATTTATCAGTTGGCAGGTCAAGAAAAACTCTCCTTATCAATGTAAACGACCAACTAATCAGTCAATAAAAAGAATGAATGAACAACTAGTTGAGGTTCATCTCTTATTGTGAATTGTATTTTCGTACATTCATTCTTCATTTGCACTGTGCACTTGTCTATTGATAGCACAGGAATATATAAGTCATGACAACCAGCTGTAGACCTGATGAACAGCTTTGGATTTCTTGTAAGACCCACGCTTGTTTGGTAAGATCTATCAGAAAGAGCTTTCAGATTTTTTCTCTTTGGCACTACATTCAAAGAAAATTGAATAGGAGATTTAAGAAGTTCTAACTTCCTAATTCTTATCCATTGCAACTAGCATATGGGCATTTTTTTTTCTTCAGTTGTATGAGATGAAGTTTCCCATTTGAATCTGATAGGGGGATTTGACCTATCTGAATAAAGTTCTGATTGGCTAGAAGCTCTCGAGATTTGAGTGATTGTGGATGACACGAATAAAAAATATGTTCTCCATGAATATATTTATCAATTAGAGCTAAACAAAAGTAAGAAAAAAAGAAATAAAATTTTGTCCATTGCCTGCTAGATGTGCTTGAGTCCATCTCTGTATGGACTCTACTACTATTCTTAGATCTTTTTTGATAGTCTGAAAGTCTACATCTTTCACCGGATGTTATTTTCAACGATTGCTGTGCTGTGATTATATAATTGATAAATATCTTGTACTCAATAAAATGCTGTTGGGAACAATTTGAAGCTTCTAAGCAATGATATCTGCACGTTTGGATGGGTTCAGAGCATTCTTTTGCGTTCTGAAAAACACGGTTTTTCTGATTATTTGAAGCTGCTAAGCCTAATTTCGGTTTGTGTTATTCCCTGATCTTCCTTAATTTTGAAGTTATTTTAGATGTCTCTATTTCAGCTATATCTAGCCCTTGTTTGATGGCCATTATTTAGGAAAAATAATGTTTTGAATAATGATTTTTAGGAAAATATGTGGTTAAAAAGTATGGAAAAATTTTAGGTTTACATGCAGATATTTTATTGTGTGATTTGAAAATGAATGTGTAGAATTTTCAAATAATGGTTGTCAATCATGGGCTTGAGTTATAGTTTCTGAGATTCTTTAGGAGAGTTAAAGAGAATGCTAAATTATATGCATATCAACAACTTTCGTGTGCCTCTTCTGTAGTGGATGTTGAATCACCTTTCGCTTTTATTCTACACCATTAGAAAGTAACATGTCAAAAAGGAGCATAATTATGTTCTAGACACACATGATTGATTGCTGATATAACATTATGAGTTGGAATTCCAATCCTGTACGTTTTTTCACGAATTTGCGAGTCATTTTATGTGCTTTAAGTCTTGTTATGCTGAATCATCTATTAGTCTGCTACTTTAACTGAGCATCATTTGAGATATGTGAAGGAAGTTATCATGATGGGATGAAAAGTATCTTTTTATGTGGACTTTTTTCTTTTGCATTTTTCAATGTTTCCATGTTTTTGGTGCTACTGATTGTTGATTTGTACCAGAGAACACTGAGTTTGATAACTTGTCAAGCACACAGGCTTCATGTGTATATCTTGTTAGGTTTCCTTGTCCTTTTGTGAAAGCAGACATCACAAAAAATGATGAAATAACGTGTGCAATGACATTCAAGACAACACTGGTATGTAGTGGCTGTTGCTTTCTCTTAATTGTGCTGTCTACAGTTTAAAGGTTATTTATGTGGACTTTTTTCTTTTGTATTTTTCTATGTTTCCATGTTTTTGGTGCTACTGATTGTTGATTTGTACCAGAGAACACTGAGTTTGATCACTTGTCAAGCACACAGGCTTCATGTGTATATCTTGTTAGGTTTCCTTGTCCTTTTGTGAAAGCAGACATCACAAAAAATGATGAAATGATGTGTGCAATGACATTCATGACAACACTGGTATGTAGTGGCTATTGCTTTCTCTTAATTGTGCTGTCTACAGTTTAAAGGTTCTTTGTCTATAGTTGATTGTAATTTATCTTCCAACATGTCCCTTTATGTGTTGGGGGTACACAGTTTTCATATATGTTATGTTTTTAAAAGATGTAAAAGAAGAAAGAAGAGAAAGTAAAAGTTATTTATTTATTCATTTGAATAATAGTTGGGAGACTGGCCCGCGGCCTACAACCCACAGTTGACCGCAGTCAAAGAATTTTATTTATTTATTTATTTATTTTGATCGAAAAAGTAAATTACGTTTAAAATACAATTCTAAATTCTATAAATAATGCATGACAAAAAAGTTAAGTTTAAAGTTAGAAAATTAGGGGACATCATTGGCTTCATCCATCCTACCCCAACAGTGGATTCCGTGCATTTAGAAGTTTGCTTAGCTACACTATTTCGACGATAACATCGCTGGGCCACCATCCGCGGTCCATGTTACTTTTGGTGATCTTTCTTTTTGGCTGACTCCTGGAGGTCCCATTCTTCACGTTTACCCTTGAATCTTGAATATGAGAACTTTCCCACCACTACACCACCAAGCCTAAGCCCCCCGACAGAGAGGGCTTCGGGACTATGAACCTTTAAAGATTAGGTCAAAAGGATAAGTGAAATAGCAAGTCGAAGGATTGGACTCCTTCTAAACATTACCTACCTACCTGAGCATGCAACAAAAGGAATTTCGGCATGGTTTACTTCCGCAAAAGGTCTGGGTGTCCCAGTTCATTCGATCTTTTTGGAAGGGAAGATAGTTTCGTCGCTTCTGGGACTAAGGAAAGTAACTCCCCCGTTGCGTACAGACAGTCATTTTTGGGAAAGTTCCCAAATGGGTCTGGCTTCCAATGAGTGTGCGAAGCGTGAATCTCGACAGCGCCATTGCGAAAAGAAGTCAATCACATCCGGCCATTTTGTCTTCAAAGTCGCAAGCAGCCTATGGGCAGAGTTGCCTCCCGTTAGTTCTTGATTTATAGTCTCAAGCTTGAATTTGGACAATGGTTTTTCATGATACTTTGAATAGGGCTTTGGAGGTCTTGTTTAACTTACTTATATTAATTTGCACGACACTTCACACATCTTTCAAAATATTACCTTTTCCTTTGGAGTATGGTATGACTTGTTTAAATTACTTGATTCAAACTTAACTAAAAATACTTTAATATCTTTATCGACTTTAATCACAAAATTAATGAAGTTGGAGATTTGCATGCTAATTCCATCTATTTTGAATACCAGCTATTAGTTTGGTTCCTTTTTGATTAATTCCTTGATTTCTACATGTTCTTTTTCTTTAGTTGTTGATTGACAAAGAGATCCTCCAAAATCATATTACTTGACTTATCCGGAATTGTTTCATCTTCAATCTCTTTTTATTATTGCATGGTGAAGACATCTCTCATATGTATGTCATTATCATCAACTTTTTCTTCATATGGATCAAAGATTGCTTTCCTTACTTCATCCGGAATTGTCAATAACAAACAATTTTTAGTATAGTGTAACGCCGCACAATATTCACAAGTCGTCTCCTCTCATAAAAATAATAGATTTGATATTTAATCTATTTGGCAAGCAATCATTATCAAGTACAATAGAAAGATTGTATCTCAATCTTTTACGTTGCGAGAAGAAGAAATCTCTTATAAACATATCATCTTCATCTAAGTTGGGAACAATCATTGTATATTTTTGCGGCTCTCTTGCTATTTCGCTTTTCCTATTTCTGAAATAAAGAAAAACAAATAAATCAACTGAAAACAAGAAGAAAAAAAACTTAACAAAAGAAAGAAATAATTTAAATCAATACTATGAAAAAATAGTCCGCAACAAAGGTACCAAAAACTTGCCGTCAATTTTATATTCCATAGGTGTACAGATCGAACAAGTAATAAAGTGGATCTAAGAGTTCAATTCAAATTATCGTTCTCACGACAATTACTATCAACTGTTAGTTAAATTATTTCTAACTCAAATTTGATTAAAAAAAAATAGAATTAGTTATTTTTTGTGGTTTTTCTTATTTTAAATATAATAAAATAATAAAAGACGATTTTTTAATGATAATTTAAGTGTTAACGTACTCAATTTATCTCTCTTTGAAGTTCAAATTGATTTTATCTAACTAAATCAATTCTATATTTCTATGTGAATCCCGATATACATTTAGTTAAATGCCTTATATATTTAAGAATCCATGTAACAACCACACTGATTAGAAAAGGTATCTCTACACTTTTATACTAATTGTTATTGACTTTTACTATGTGAACTAAACAAATAATCCGCATCTCAATGTAATTATCGCTCATAAATCAATGAATTAGTAGCCAATAAATTCAAGCATTAAAAGAATATAAATAAAAATAATTCACACAATTAATTGGAGATTTAAAACTTTTTAACTATACATAAGGTTCAGAACAAATTATTACAATAATTCATACTAACTAGTTATTTAATTACACGTCATTGGAGAAGAAATATACAAGAACGAAATAAAGTACACGGCTGAGTTTTAAGAAACAAGGGAAAAAGTGAAGATCTTGCATCAAGATTTTACATTCTTCTTATAAAATCTTGAAGTACTTGTTTCTTGATTGTTTACTTAATTCCTTCCTTTTTTTGAGCTTTCTTTTCTTGTGATTGATATAGATTGTGTCTCAAGATATCCCTTTGACTTGTGTGTGTGTGTGTGTGTGTGTGTGTGTGTGTAATGAAAATCCCAAGTCTTGATTTGAATATATATGTAGAATAAAGTTCTACAAGCATTCTTTCAATTGTTGAATTAAAACATGTATTTATAGAGAAAAATTTAGGCAAAATCCTTATTCAAATTGGTTTACTCAAAGAATTGGGGAAAAAAGGAAACAATTCCCTTGTTTAGTTGGACTCGTTTTCTCAGGTAATTTTGGTCATTTATTTTCTAATATTTACAATTAAATAATCTTCAATCGAAAATCATCAATAATTGAATCAAGGCAAGTTCCAAAAGCTCGCAATTTAATCCTCACACTTTCTAAATATCGAATTTAACTTCTGAAATTTATGAATTTTTACTAAATGCTATATCATTACTTCCAATTGATCACTTGGAATCTGGTAATCTTCAATTGCTTCAAATCAACTCCAATTAAGTCCAAATTTCACACTAATTGTATTCAAGTTGAGATTTTGCCTATAATTAACATAATTTACACAAATTAAGTAAATAACCGCTCAATTTACATATAAATAAATAAGAATAGAAGCTTGGATATTAAAAAAAAAATAAAAAAATTAGTAAATCTCTAAGTGACATTTATTAATTAGTTTGATCAAACTATATTAATGTAGAATTTGAGTAAATGGCAAATTCAGATGTTCTCTTAAAAATTGGACAAGGATCATTATGATTGTTTACAAAATACTAAAATTGGTTATCATTTTAAAAGTATCGTACGCGATATTTAATGACTTATTATTCCATCAGAATAAAA